TGGGAAAATTCTGCTACAAAAATTAAATTGTCAACTTGACTAGTTATCACACTAATAGTTTGCTCTTAATTTTTCCCATGCTGTCTCTTGCTTAAGACAACACTGTTTATTTCTTAATACTGTTCCACTCAAGAAGAATTATTTGTGCACGGAGAGGTAACAAACGCACATTCCTGTACACCTCTAACATGTGGCTGGGGGGTGACTGATGAACCTGACCCAACTTTCCCTTCCCAGTGCTCTCCACCCTTCATACCTGGCTGGGCCCCAGGGATGAACCTCTCTCTCTACTGCCTTTCTTCTCAAGGCAACATACTAGGGGCATGTAAGGTCAGAGCCCCCAAATATGTGTCTAAGTTGCTGGCCACTGACATCATCCACCCATCTCCTACCCGTGGTTATAGCTTGGGCAGGAAGGGTTAAGTCCTAAGGATGCATTGAGCACCAGGGCCCAGGGAATCTGGCTGTATAAAGGAGTTCAGTGAACGAGGTAAGAGAGGTGGCTCAGCTCAGGGAACAGGGCGGCCTTGCACTCCCCAAAGACAGGGAAGGGGGCAGCATGTGGAGAGGATGCTAAACAGTCCTGCATGGGGAACTGCTGGGTCAGGGCACAAAAAGGCTGGCAATAGCTTCCTCCCCACCATTCCAGAGTTGAGCTGAGAGTAGGGAATCTTCCTCTTGTCAGTACAGTGTAGGGGTTAGCATATACGGGGTTGGGCTCCTTCTGGCCAGGGCCTTGAGCAAGAGAGTCTTGAGCTTTCCTTGGGTGCCAGTCAGGCTGTTGGTTAGCTGAGTGATCTGACCAGGGGCTGGTTATCTATATAGTGCTAGGAGTGACACGCACCCCACTATGGCCATATGGAGGAGCAAAGGGGCTGGGGTGGTGAATAGGCATAGCAAGGAGAAAACAGAGAGGGGAACCACATGAACGGCTAATAGGTGGGCAGCAGAGGTGACCCATAACCAGTCACTGCATGCCTGTGTTCACCAGCCACCACAGCAGGCAGCCAGTGCTGGCTGAAAATGGGGGCAGGGTGGATAGGGACCTGGCATGCACTAGGGACTGCACTGATGGACCAGCAGGGAGAGCAGCTGGCCCCACATTCTGCAGCTTTGCCTGACTCTTCACAACACTCACTGCAAGTGGGGTGGGCAGCTAGTGAGCAAACATCTGAGTAGTAGTAGGATCCACCAGTACTGATGGGAGGGAAGAGAAAATATGGGATAACGTTCCCTTTTTAATAAAATAGGGACATGTAGGAAGGTTTAAATATGGAACTGTCTCTTTAAAAATCAGGACATGTAGTCATCCTCAGCATGACAGTGTCCCAGAGACACGTTTCCATCTAAACTATAGGGAACATGGTCATATTTGAGGATTTGGATGAGTAAAGATGACTCTCACTTGCAGGACATTAACTTTGGTATGAAATAGTAGATACGCTAAATGAAAGATTCATTAAGTTATTAAAAAACCATAAAGTGTATTATGAATTCTTAAAGCTATGTATTATGTAAATGCCAAAATGAGTATTGAGTTGGAAATATGCTTAGATACAGCACCACTAGTAATTTAGTAATATATAAGAGATTAAATAAATAAAAATGCTAAAACAGAGGAAAAACAAAGATGGATTCCCAGTGAATGTAGGCCTGTAACAAAGATTACATTTATATTCTTTAAATGAAAATTAGGTAGTGTTCCAGTCAAATACCTGATCTATAAAGTACTATTACTACCTTTTATTTTCAAGTTGTAGTTTTCACTGAGTTCTTCAAATATTTCTCTTGCAAATTTATCACTGAGATTGGTTTTTTCACAATTCTATTTACATTATGCTTCTGTAGTTTATAGAAACAGAACTCAGAATATTGTACTGAATAGCAGCTTGTTAAAGAAGTGAGTAAAATTTAATAGAATCTTTGTCACTTTAGAACCTCATACGGCTTAAATTGGTTCATAAACATTTTTTTGATCATTTCTTTAATTCTCCCTCACAACTTTTTGCGTTTATCAGTAGTTAAATTAGAAGAATTTAATGTCTGGGGACACTTCAGGTTGGTAATGAAAAGCACTAAGGAAAGGTAACTTGTTCCATTTTGTGTACTGTAGCTATATACCTCAAATATTCTGCCTGATGGGGAACTGATACTCAGTTTTTTAATATTTTCCTTAAAAAAAAGAAAAAGATAGTGCTTAAGGGGCTTTCTGGTGGTCCTTTTAGAAAATTGAAGCAGGCATGTCTGAGAGCAATACCAAATTTTTTTTTTCTCCTTTTTGTCTACTTGCCTTTGTGACTTTACAGCATTTTTTTGACATTGGTTGAAAGTTAAGCCTATGAAAAAGGCCTGGCATGTAAGTGCTAAGATTGTGTGGTGGTTTTTTGTTTGTTTGTTTTTTAACTAAAACATGACTTTTCTATTGAGACTCTTCATACATATATTTAAAAAAACCTCTTGAATTCACAGTGGTTTCTTGGGGCTTAACAGATACTTTGAAAAATGAGACTTGGTATTTCCTGACAGATTAAATCGGTATATGTTTACCTAATACAAAGCCTTCTGATTGCTTCCCTTTATTTTCTAGAGCAGGGGTGGGTAAGTTACGGCTTGGGTTGCAGCGGAGTGGGGGGGCATATCTTGCCCATCTGGCCTTTCAGTCTGGCCCACTGCCCATCTCACTGGACCCACAGGCAGGGAACAGCCCTAGGGGTCAGAGCAGCTGGCTGCTCCATCTGCTTCTCTGCTTCCCCCTATCCAAATCACCCAAATTCCCTCTCAGATCCTGTGTCCTCTCCTGTACCCCATCCTCTATTCCAAGGTCCTTTCTGCAACCAACGTCAGTCCTAGACTCTGCACCCTCTCCATTGAAAAGTGAAGCCCTTTACCGCTTACCAAATCTTGGAGTGGCGCCTCATCAAAAATTGTTGCCCACCTGTGTTCTAGAGTGACCTTTAGTTTTCATGTTTTAGGTCTCATACTTTTGAAAGTATATCTTCAAAATGTTGCACATTTCATCAGATTTAAATCTTGCTAATTTTGCAAGGTTATTTCATTGCTTATTCTTTATTTTAGTAATTATCTTGTTTTCTAGAGACACAAGATTGTGGTCATCAAACACAATTCAGATTTTAACTTGCATCTTAAGATGTGAAAAGCTATTGTGTTTATATAACGGGTCCATAGAGTTGTCCCCTCTCATATGCACTATACTCAGCCCTAGTTTTAAGTGCTTTTGAGCATGTAATGCATTTTGTATGCGTTGTACAGTTGTTCATCTTAATTTCTATTCTTGTTCTCCTTATTCGTTGCATACTTGCTCGACTTGAAACGCAAGTTTTAATCTCTGCTTAGTTACAAAATAACAAATAGCGCTAAAAGAATTAGAAAGGGTTTAGGTACAGATATATTGCACTGTCAAGTGCCCTTCTGTAAAATAGAATCATTTGGTGCTTATGATATGTCATTCCACAGGGCCAGAGCCCAAAAGGGTTGTAGATTCGCTTCCACACAGTGCCGATTAGGGATAATGTACTTTATTAAGCTCACTACTACTACACTTCACAGGCTACACTCTAGCAAGCGAAAACACTACAGAGCAATGGTTAAAGGAGTGTAAGGCTCCTTGGAATGCTCACGTCCCTTCAGGCACTTTTTGCAGAAAAGCATCCATGCCAATCTAGACACGCTTTTGCGCAAAAAAGCCCCGATAGCCATTTTCGCCATCGGGGCCTTTTTTGCGCAAAACAAATCTCAGCTGTCTACACTGGCCCTTTTGTGCAAAAGTTTTGCGCAAAAGGACTTTTGCCCAAACGGGAGCAGCATAGTATTTCTGCAAGAAGCACTGATTTCAGACAGTAGGAAGTCAATGTTCTTGCGGAAATTCAAGTGGCCAGTGTAGACAGCTGGCAAGTTTTTTCCGCAAAAGCAGCTGCTTTTGTGGAAAACCTTGCCAGTCTAGACACAGTCCAGTTGTTTACCGGGTTGTTTACCGGGTGTGCGTGTACTTGGCTCAATTCCTTGCTTATCACTCTTATGGGCTGAGACCGAGGTCAAACTTATTTACCACTTAGCAGTTTCCCAGCTCAAGGCATGGATTAACCCTGATAAAGCCCACATCTGCTGTTTGGGCTTGCAGCGTCCCACAGTATGCTAAGGTGAGTACAGCGGGGATGGAAACTTCCATCCTAGGCCTGCTAAGCTGCAGGACCCGCATACAACTTTTATGTGACATAATTTACACAACTTCTTACAGAGCATGTTTGTATTTGTATCAAGATTGTATAGTGCAAATTTAAGATGGTAGGCTAAATTTTCATGTGACTATTGATTTAATGTGTCCCACTTTTGAGTGGCCAACTTGAGACATTTTAGGGGCCTGGTTTTCAGGAAGTGCTGAGCATTAGCTTTCTTAAAATCAGGCCTCTTTATTTAGGTTTAAAAATCTAAGTCCTGTATCTAAGATTCTGACTGCCCTAGTATCATTAATAAAATTCTAACATTGTTCATGTAGTCATTTCATAGGGACTCAGCCAGAGACTCTTTTCCACTCTTTATCATTGTAAGATGCATACTTCCATTATTCTTCAGAAACAAACCCTCTTCAAGTTGCTTCAAATTGGGCATTCAAAAACTGAGGTACATAAAATATTCCCTAAGCAACACTTCAGATGGGGAGAGGGAGTAATCAAATACTTTTGAGTTTTGATAGTTCGTTTTCAGGAATATGTGTTGGGGGTGGGAAATGTAGAGCAGCTATCATGGATAAACAAGAGGTGTATTGTATGAGTGAGAAACAAAAATTGCTATATTTCTGTAATGCACATACAAGCCATTAATACTCTTCCTAGATAAGTCTCTGGTTTTTTTTTAAGTGTAAATCCTCAGTACCTTTTCAGTTTATTTTTAAGTGATGTGCAATAACTGTAAAATGTGGACATGGACCTATTTCCAACACTTATAGTATTTTAAAATTTTCAATTTATATTTTTCCTATATAGGTAGAAATAATTCAAGAACTTGTTACTGCCTATGAAGCCTCTCTGAAAACCTGTGACTTATTTAGCCCATATGGTAAGTTTTGATAGACAGGTATAAAATTACATTTCAGTTACCAATCTCTGTTTTGACAGTTAACAATAATTGTTGGAGTGCTGCTGCCTTTTGCCAGAGAATAGTTAGATATCTACCTTTTTGCACATGAAAACAATTTAGCAAATATTTGCTGAATTTAGCAAGGTATTTTTGTGTCCTCCCTCCCCTGCAAAATACATTTCAACTTTATTGGCACTGTAACTTTATATCTTTTTGTTACAGAAAATGGAGAGAAGGAGCCCCCAACGACGCTACTTTGGGTTCGTTATTTCCTGGCACAGCACTTTGACAAACTTGGCCAGTATTCATTGGCCTTGGAATACATTAATGCTGCAATTGCAAGCACTCCAACATTAATAGAACTGTTCTATTTAAAAGCAAAAATTTACAAGGTAAAGATGTTGAATTAAATATGTCTCAGGTCCCTTTCTCAATTGAAATGTTCATAAGATTTTTATAGTGATTTTTTTTTTCTGGCTTTGGGCATGATCTCTGTGTGTGTGTGTGCGCACACTGTTCTATCCGTCATAAAATGTAAACACACTTTGCAGTTTGTTTATACTATGGAATAAAAAATCGTAACTTACAATGAGTAGTCATGTTGGTAAATCCACAGGAAGAAAGATTAGTATCTATCTTGATTGCATATAGGTTGATTATAAATCCTGGTGTCTAAGTAAAAATGGCTGTGTGTGTCTATATTTAGTAAAAAATATATTTCATAATGAAGCATAACTGTCTTATTTTTCCATAACAGCATTTGGGTAATCTCAAGGAAGCTGCCAAATGGATGGATGAAGCACAGTCTTTGGATACAGCAGATAGATTCATCAACTCCAAATGTGCAAAGTATATGCTCCGAGCAAATATGGTGAAAGATGCAGAGGAGATGTGTTCCAAGTTTACAAGGGTAGGAAATATTGTTTTAAAGAGGAAGTTGACGGCATTTTCATTTGGCAAATCCCATGTATGAGATGTAGTAATCTATTTCCACATCTCTGCCATGGTAACGAGTTTGAGTTTCACTAGAAATCTATCCATTGCAGAGATTTGTCCACTTTTAAGGTATGCTTGCCTGTGTAATTATAACTTAATAGTGTCAGTAAGTAATTTTCTAGAAGACCATATACCACAAAAACACTTATGCATTGCCACACGTTCAGGAGTAAGTATTTTTGTGGAATGCATTTGATAGCTGTTTTGTTATGTAACTTGGAATAATTGTTGAATAACAGATCTACTGTTGCATTTCAAATTGTTCATGTTGTATCTAAATCATAATTTGGAATCATAACTCTTTCAGTTAACAATACTGGGTAACATTTTTAAAGCACCTAAGTGCCCTTTTCAAAAGTGACTTTAGGCACTTAGGGTGTGTCTAGACTACCTAGTTTTGTCGACAAAAGTGGACTTTTGTCGACAAAACTATACCAGCGTCTACACTACCGCTGAGTTCTGTCGACATAACGTCAACAGAACTCAGCAGTTTTGTCAACGCTGGTATACCTCATTTTACGAGGCATAACACCTTCTGTCGACAGAACTCTGTGTTATTGCCTATAACATTGCATCCAGACTATGGAGTTCTGTCGACAAAGCAGCTTGCTTTGTCGACAGAACTCAATGTGTCTGGACGCTCTTTGTCGACGGAAGTTTTGTCGACAGTATCTGTCGACAAAACTTCCGTCGACAAAACACGGTAGTCTAGACGTACCCTTAGAATCCTAAAATCCATTGTGGTGTGGTGGTGGTGGTATTTTTTTTAATATGACTTAGAAAATCTGGCCTTTAGAAGCCAAAGTCATTTAAGTACCTAAAATGCAGATAGGCATCAGATAGGATTTTAAAACATGCCTAAATAAAGTGCCCAGTTCTCTAATGGGAGTTAGCCTCATAAGCCATGGTTTTCTAGAAACCACTCCCGAAAACTTTACTTTGTAGCCCCCTATTTATAAAGTCCACATTGGCTGCATTCACATGTGAAAACTAAGGTGCTAATTGCAAAATATTTTGTATAGTTCCAGAAATTTAAGGAACACATTCGCTAACCTCAGGTGCTCACATGCTTTTCAGTTTCCAAAAACTAGAAATCCACAGTGTAATCTGATTCCCACAAGCAGAGAACTTTTTCATTGGGGGAGGAGAGATGGGGGAGAATCTGGTTTGATTTGGTATTAAGGTTGTTGGATTTTTTTTGGTATTGTGATACAAATAAAATGTAAACAAAATGTTTGTTTCCTTAAAATATCAATGGAAGTCTTACTTCATTGGCTTACCCATTGAATAATATGACTATGAAAGTTTTGATCTAGATATTTATTGATATTGACAGCAGCTGACTTGAAAAAAATAACTATTTTCATGGTTTAGTGGATAGAAATTGTAGTATTTTCTTCATATGTAATAATGCTGTTTGTTGTATCTATAGTTTAATTGATAATAGAAAATTTTACTTTTAAGTGTAAAATAGTTGTTTGAAAGAATTATACTACAGCTTGAACCTCTCTAGTCTTCTCTGGTCTGGCAGTATCTGTGGTCTAGCATGGTTTTAATTGTCAGTTTATCGTGTGGTCAAGTTTCCCACTGTCCTGTAAAATTTGTTTACAGCCAACTCTCCTGGCTCTCAAGACAGGTCTACACTGAAGTGGAAGATCGAATTAAGATATGAAACTCCAGCTATGTTAATTACGTAGCTGTAGTTGACATGTTTTAATTCGAGTTTCCCCATTACTCCCACAGTGGGAAGCTGAACGGAGCGATGGGAACGCCCTCTTAGTTTGATTTAGCGGGTCTTTACTAGACCCACTAAATCAAACTCCGGAAGATTGATCATGGCAGTGTCCATCTTCCCTCAAGTAAAGACATGGCCTCAGTGTTCTGTGCCCTTATTTAGGTCTAAATTATCCCTTAATGTCTTCCATGGCTTGCTGGAAGTACTGGTAATGCAGCTAAGTGTAAGCATGGTTTTTATGCTTTATCTACTTATTTCCTTGTGCCAATACAGTAAAATTGTTTAACAACATTAACACTTTCTTAGGGATGTTAAAGTTAGGTTATTTTACTAATTGAGTGATGGATAGAAATTTTATCAACTACTCAATTAGTCGATAGGGGAAGGCAGCTGGCCGGCGCTGAGACCAAACCCCGTTGTGGCTCTAAAATTTAGAATGCAGTAGAAGCTGGGGGGGAGAGGAAGGACCAGTTTGGTTCCAGACTCTGCAGGGGTAGGGACTGAGCCGGGCTGCCTGCCCAGCTGGCAGCAACCCATGTCCGTAGGGGCGGTCCACAGTGGGGAGTAGACTACCCAATAATCTTTAGGCCAGGCTTATCAGGGTATATCAGTACAGTCATACGTTGTTAAACAGTATTGCAGGTACCTTGGTGTATCCATTTATTTGCCTCAATGAAATAAAAATAAAAAGACCCACTCACTCACTACAATATAGATTTCTCTGGCTTGGCACTGATCAGGTCTCAAGGATGCCAGACTACTAAATACAGGTTGAATCTCTGTATTGTTTCTTTCCACCCTCGTGTTTTGAGAATTTGGCAGCAAATTTGGTTTCTTATATGTCCTTGTTTTTATAGTTTGTAGAAGTACCTTCCATTTTTTAAACATGGTTATTGAGCTAAAATGTTGAATATATAAAACAAAAATTCTACGATCCTCCTTAATTGAGCTGATTTATAAAACCCCCAAATGCAGACTATAAAAATTTGTTTGCAGTCAGTAGAGTTACTGACAGAAAGCCAGTACATATGCCTGTTTATTTTAAATTAACCAGTGCTTCCTCTGATTCAGGCAAAGGATAAACTAAATCCTTCCTAAAGTTAAGGATTCTCAAAAAAATGAGTGCCTCTAAATCTTAGAAGAGGGAACCATCTCTTTTCTTTCTTTTTTTTAATTTATCTTGGGCAAAAAGTAGAGATGAATTATTTTTCAAGCATGCTAGTTTGTGTCCATGTGACTTTGAAGAAATACCACTTACAGCAACAAAGAGGCTGAAAGAAGGATACATTAGAGCGGGAGTGATTTTTCTTTTCAGAATGTCAATAACTATTTAAGGGAGGTTTTGCCAGTATTAGCAATGTAATGCCAATATGTTTATAGATGAATGGTTAATACTGAAAGTCATATGTGAGAAAAGGATATACAGCAATTGGCGAATTATTGGTTTCACTTGGTATGAATATATTCATTTTAGGAAGGGACTTCTGCTATGGAAAATCTAAATGAGATGCAGTGTATGTGGTTCCAGACTGAATGCGCTTCAGCTTACCAGAGACTAGGGAAGTATGGTGATGCCTTGAAAAAATGTCATGAAGTGGAAAGGGTAAGTAGGTAAAAAGATAGATAGGTTTGTTTCCTATATAAATTCTTCATAATACAGGGTAAATCAGTTCAGCATGGCATTCTTATTATTTAAAGGTTCTGAATCAGCGCGTTAACTTAATGGATAATGGATCTTGTTTCTGTAATGTAACTATTTAAGAAATTTCAATGAAAAAACCAATAACCATAAATCTTCTGACATGCCTTTATCTAAAACTATCTTTATATTGCTTTTTGCCATTTCTTTTCTACCTGTTGGGGAAAAAATCATATATATATATATATAAAAAAAAAAAACCAAGAAAAAGAGGGTTTAAAAAAATAAAATAAAATGATTTAATCTTTTCTGATGGAATCAGAACAATACATTTTGCTGTTCGCAATTACTGTGCATTTTGTTAGTTAAATTAAACTAGCGTTGTTTTAAGAGAGGGAGGGGAGATTTCTTAGCCTCATTTTGACAGTATAATATTCTCTTATTTTCCATATTATATGTGTAGGTTTTCAAATACTGCTACTTTGTTACTCCGCTTTGTATGTAGATGGTAATGAACAGAAAAATTAGTGAAAGGATCTGTTTTTGTGTTTGTTTTTTTATAGCATTTTTTTGAGATAACAGATGATCAGTTTGACTTCCACACATACTGCATGAGAAAGATGACTCTTCGAGCATATGTAGACCTTCTGAGATTAGAAGATGTTCTCAGGAAACATGCTTTCTATTTCAAGGCTGCTCGATCAGCAATTGAAATCTACTTGAAACTACATGATAATCCTCTAACCAATGAAAGCAAAGAACAAGAAGTGAATTCAGGTACCTGCGCAGTAATGTAGGCTAGTCTGTATAAATAACACAAATTAAATCTTACTAAGTTAAATAACGTTACAGGATTTAAAATCGTTTTGTTGCAATATAGAGAACTTTTCATTTTTCTGTCCTTGAATATTTGATAAGCAACTGATGAAGTGGGTTTTGCCCACGAAAGCTCATGATGCTGTGTGTATTTTTGTTAGTCTCTACGGTGCCACAAGACTACTTGTTTTTTGAAAAGAAATAGTCAAGAATAAATATTACGAAGACAGTTTTTTTAATCAAATTGCCAAAAAAAAATTAGATGAAGACAGATGTCAGCTGAATTTAGTGAAATACTTGGTGTATATAAAATTTTATCTTGTTTTAGATGTCAACACCCTTAGATCTAAACCCAGGAAAATAATAAATGAAGAGGTAATGATCAAGTTTTCATGTATAGAGTTTAGGGAAGGTGGTCAGTGGATTGCTGCAGTGATTGGTGTTAAGCCTAATATATTTAATATCTTATTAATCTAATAAAATGTAATGTGGAATGTAGAAATTCTAGGTGTTTTGCACATGCCACTGTGTCTGAGGTAAGCCATACAGAGGGCTCTAGAGATGGTAGAATTATGTACAGGAAGTAAATTGAGCTTCAGTTTGGCAAAATAGAAATGAATACATCTGGGAAATCTAAAAATGATATTTGTTGGGAGACATATTTTCTCATGGTAAATGTGAGCAATCTACAGATGAATAAATTAGTTACGAGTGTCTTCAAATGAAGTATGCCTGCATACCCATGTGCCAGTGACATGGCAACTACAATATTGCATGTATCCAGGGCACTTTGATGTTGACCAATGGGAAGAAATTCAAAGATAATTGTAAGGACAGGAAGAATTGACACATTGAGACCAATAAAATCTGTATCCTCCCTTCAGAGTATAATAATGTGATGTATAACGATGCATTTTTTGCTGCACAGCTCAATACTCTGTCACTTTTTCACTTTCCACCAAGTTGTCTGTCTGTTTATAGTAATCTCCTCCGTGAAGCAGCTAGTACACTTGCTGTATATAAATTATTTATACTATATAACTTTTAATTTAGAAGGTAGTATCCACCTTTTGTTGGGCCACCTGAGATCTTTCAATGAAAGGCTTTGTATGAATACAAAGTATTCTAATAGTGTCCCAGGATGTACATAATATAATGGGTTCTCCTTCAAGTGGCATCCCTGTGGATGCTAGACTCAGGTCTTGGTGCACCTTCGTGCTGCTGATCAGAAGTTTTGCCTAGCAGTGCCTTCCCTTGCCATGCCTGAGCAGTCGCCGTCTTGCACTGTTTTCATCAGTTAGGTGTGTGTGCAATGTGATCCTCCTGTTCCTTTTCTACTGTCCTTGGTTGAAGGTAGTCACAGCAGTGCTCTCCTTTCTGACAGAAAATAAAACAGTAGTATAGTTAGTTTACAAGTTCATAGTTTTAGTCCATTTTATCTAGTTCTTTAAGGGTGGGGGGGGAACCTTTCCCCGGTTCTTTTCCTCTCTGCTTGATTTATCTCCAGGTTCTGTATCCTCATGTTCGTTCAACATGTCAGGCTCTCCTGGCTTCAAGAAATGTGATTCATGTCGGAACTCAGTGCTGTTTTCTGATGGACATGCTTCCTGTATTAAATGGCTAGGCAAAAGCCACATAGTGCAAAAGTCAAAACATGATGGCCAGAATGAGGAAAGACTGAAATAAAGCTGAAGAATCTCCTCTTGGAGAAATCCCTCCAACCCTCCGGGGATACATCCCCAGAGATATGGTGCACTCAGCGCCCTGTGAGAGGGCTAGTACATTTCCCTATAGAGGCTCTTAAGTGCCGTGGGCTTCCCTGGCACGATCACTGCCTGCTACTTCACAGGCTGCTCATTCCCTGTTGCCATCTACTTCTGGCATCGCGGAGAAGCGAAAACTGACCTCAGCTAAGAGAGCTTAACTGAACTGAAATGGCAAACTACCACCACAGCACTCACCAATGCGGCTAACTGACCGGCCCCAACAAAACTGGACGTGCTGCCACTGGTGGCATCCAGAGGCATCTGTCACCAATTGAATGATCCAGTTCCAAGCAGCTAAATTACACTCTGGCACTAGAGCATAAGAAAGCTGCTAACAAAACATGCCACTTACAAAAAGCCCCACGCTCGGGCGCACCATCTCCACCTTTTTTAGGGAGTTAGCTTCACCACGCTTTCCAACATTTCCTCACTCTAGCCTGTATAGACAAAGTGTAGCAATTTTTTCTTAACTCTCCCACACCATTGTCATTGTGAACTGAACATGGCAGTAGGCAGGGGAGTAGATGTTTTTCACACCTCATCCCCTTCATGGCACTCCACTTGGTATCATCCCTTTCGACAACCCCCACAACTTCTCTGGTTTAACCACCCATGTCTGTATTCACCACAAGAGCTTCAACCTCCATGACCTCTCTGGGAGCCATGGCACCAATATCGCCCCTGCTCCTCCCATCGCCACCATCCATGAGATAACTAGCCTCTATACCAGTGCATATAGCTACATGGTCTCTGGCTACCACAGCACATTCGTCACCTTCTCATCCCCCTCCTTCAGTAATAACCCAGGCAGGTCCAGCACATGATGAGAACTTTCCTCGGTCCAGTTCAGAGAGCTCTGCATAGGCCGCGCACAGTCTTCTGCTGCTCCAAACGAGGCAGTTTTCCAAGCATCATCCTCTCCAGCAGCAGATGACTGGAAACCATTCCAAGAATTGTTCAGATGGGTGGCTCAATCTTCAGACATTACGCTCCAAGAAGTACAAGACAAACAATAAATATTACTCAAAATACTTTAACCAGCTACATCCTCAAAGACAGCATTACCCATCAATGAGGCTGTCATGGAGCCATCAGCTGTACTCAGGCAGACACCAGCCTCTATTCTCCCGTCTCCCTTCCTCTTCCCCTCCCACCAACTGGAGAGTGGATAGAAAATACTTTGTCCCAGCAAAGGTGATAGATTTTCTCTTCTCACATCTCCACCCAAATTCATTGGTTGTGGACTCGGTTAATCACAAATCAAAACATCCTCAAAACAAGTCAATGCCTCACGAGAGAGAACACAAATGACTGGATCTCTTTGGCTGGAAAGTATGCTCCTCTGCCACCCTCCAGTTCAGAATATCAAATTATGTTCTTCCGGATAACTATGATCGTGCCAATCACTCCAGCTTGTGATCTCTTACAGGACCTTCTTGAAAACAAGAGACCTCCTCTCCAATCCATCAGGCCAATCCATAGCAAAACCAGCTCTCCAGGCTGCAATGAATGTGGTAGATACAGCAGCTAGGACCAAAGCTATGGCAATAGTAATGTGCAGGGCGTCATGGTTACAATCATCGGGAGTCCCAAAATAATTAGACAAAGTTGGAGGACTCACCTTTGATAGGAACCAACTGTTCGCTACAAAAACAGTTGAGATGTTGCACTCAAAGGTTCCCGCACCACACTGCATACTTTAGGTATGTATGCCCTGCCTAATAAGATGCATATATGTCTCATACCAAAGACCAAGAAACTTGAACGATCACAGGCAACGGCAGAGGCCATATGACATCAGCCCAAGCAACATCCCAATAGAAGGAGCGCTCAACACAACTAGTCCTGCACTACTCAACCCACTTGAAACAAACAGTATATGTGAAATTTTGGTTGGGGATCTGAGCGACCACCTCAAAGATCCTGTGCATCCAAACACAACCTTCCTTCACAGTCTGAGATCCTTTTACCAACAATGGGCCCTTATTACTATGGACAAATGGGTTCTCGAGATCATCAAATCGGGCCAGACAATCTCTTTTATGTCTATACCCCAGGGGTGAGCAATTTGATGGGAGGAGGCACTCCAAGAATTTGGAAAGTGGTAGAGGGCCGCACTCTTCCATGATATTAATGGAGGAAGTGCAGGGTCTGGGATGGAGGTTGGATGCAGAATGGATTTTAGGATAAGGGAGGGAATGTGGGTGAAGGAGGCAGTTGTGATCTGGGGCGCTGGACTGGGATGGAGGGGGTTGGATTGTGACCTAGGGCAGGGAACTGGGATACAAGAAAAAGGGTGCAGGGATTTGGGTTGTAAGCTAGGGCAGGAGGGGACTGTGATCTGGAGCAGGGGATTGTGGTGCTGAATCTGGGAGGGGTACAGCAAGGGGGCAGAGGATTTGGGTATGTGGAGTTAGGGGGCAGAGGTTTGGGGAAGGGAGGGATTGGGGTGCCAGAGGAAGGCTCTGCCAGGAGATTTACCAGCCAGCAGCAGTTCCTGAATCCATCTCCCTGTCTGTTCTGCCCCTGTACAGATTGCAGTCACGTGCTCTTTTGCTTCATGACTACCTGTTATTGAAACAGGCAGCTCCCATTGGCCAGAAACTGGCCAATTATGCTAGGGTTGGGAGAACTTCCTAAAGCTTCCCCCAGGACTCAGTTTTTTAAAGAAAAATTACCCCATAGCTGCATTTCTGAACAGCATGAAGGTGGGGCTCCCTGCAGCATCCGTGGGCCGGATCCGGTGGCTTGGCAAGCTGGATCCAGCACATGAACCGTGTTTTCCCAGGCCTGCTATACCCCTACCCCATCCCTCTTCAGGGACCCCTTTCATGAGCCCCTGTTACAAGAAGAGGTACAAAAGCTGCTCAGCCTAGGTGCAATAGAATATTCCCACAGAATATTAGGGAAGAGGGTTCTATTCCAACTATTTTCTAATTGTCAAGAAAACAGGTAGCTGGAGGGTAGTTTTAGATCTCAGAAAGCTCAAGTTTGTCCACAACAGCAAATTCAGAATCGTGACACTTGCAACTATTACACCAGCACTAGGCAAAGGGGACTGATTCTCAGACCTCTTCCTTCAGGATGCATATTTTTAGAAAATTGGAAAGCCAACACTGAGACTGAATTCCCATTCGTGTTGTTCAGAGAAGTGTCTGTTCAGTTTGTCAGCCATGGTATTCTGTTGGTATGCAAGTGGCAGTTGGGATTATCTGGTTCTTGTGGCACCAATTCCAAAATCAGATTTCTTCTGCACACAGTGAGCATGATAGAGCACCTCCCTGTCAATTGATGTACAACATAGAGCAATCAACAAGATCCACTCCGACCAGGCCATGGTAATTTTGATAGCTCCCTACTGGCTGAGACAACCTTTGTTCCCTTACCTACATCACCTATCAATAAGTCAACTGATTACTCTCCCCATGAGTCTCCACTTGCTAACCCAACACTGGGGTAAGACCCACCATCCAAACATAAAAACCCCGAAATTCACAGCTTGGCTTCTCCATCGTTCCAAAATGAAGAACTTACCTCCTCAGAGACAGTTAAGCAGAGCCTACTAAATAGTTGACATTCCTCCGCAAGATGCACCTACCAAAACAAATGGAAACGCATTCAGGAGTGCTGTAGTATTCATCAGTTACAACCAAACACTGCTCCCATACCTACTGTACTAGAGTACTTCATCGACCTCAGTGATGCAGGCCTCTCCATCAGCTTGGTTCGCATCCATCTCCACGAACCAGTCAACCATCTCTCACTCTTTGCACACCCAATGACGAAGCACTTCTTAACAGGCTTGTGGAAAACGCGTACAAACTTACGCCTCCCTGTACCACCTTGGGACCTAAATCTCATACTTGAAACCCTCATTAGACCACCCTTTGAGCTACTAGCCTTGGCTCCACCACAATACCTATCCATGAAAAAATCAGAAGTCTTGTAGCACCTTATAGACTCTCAAATTTATTGGAGCATAAGCTTTCGTGAGCGAAGACCCACTTCGTCAGATGCAACGTGTGACTTTCATAGTGGCAGTAAATCTGCGAGACAAGTTGTTGAAATGGCAGCTCTCATGGCTCACCCACTGTACACTATCTTTACTAAGGATAAGATTATGCTCAAGCCTCATCCCAAGTTTCTCCGCAAAGTTATGTCAGACTTTCACCTGAATGAACTTATATACTTACCCACGTACTTTCCTAAACCTCATATCTCTCCAAGAGAATCCATCTTGGCACACCCTAAATGTCTGATGAGCCCTTGCATTCTACTTTGGAGAGAAACAAGGAGACCAGGAAATCAGACAGACTCTTCATCTTTGTTTCCCCACATGGGAAAACCTGTCTTTGAGCAATGGATTTCCCAGTGGATTGCAAGCTGCATATGTACAGCTTACCAGCTTTGTAGAAAAGAACCACCACAGATTATTAGGGCACACTCCACATGTGTGATGGCCACATCAACTGCTTTCCTACATACTATGCCACTAGCGGACATTTGTAAAATAGCAACATGGTCTTCCCATCATACTTTCGCACATTATGCCTTACAAAAAGGACTCATACCTATCACCATTCTAGTAGATGCGGTCCTTGATTCTTCACATAAATGACTCCAATGCCCACCAATATATGGGGATATTGCTACTTAGTCACCTGAGTGGAGCTCCCATAGGGACACCACTCGCAGGAGGAAAAAGTTCCTCACTTTGTGCAGTAACCATGGTTCTTTGAGATGTGTCTCTCTATGGGTGCTTCACTACCCACCCTTTCTCCCCTCTATTTGGAGTCCTTTATTGGATTTCCAGTAGAAAAGGAACAGAGGGAAGATTGTGCCATGCACGCACCTAACTGACGAAAACAGTGCGAGGCTGCGTATGCACGGTGCAGGGAAGGCAATGCTAGGCAAAATCTCCAATCAGCTCTGTGAAGGAGCACTGAGACCTGAGTGGAACACCCACAGGGATACACATCTTAAAGAATCATGGATACTGCACAGGGTGAGTAACTTCTTTGTTTCCAAACTTCACATTTCATCTGACTTGTGGTTTAAAGTCCAGTCTAAGTTTCTGGACTTTCATTTTTATATTACTTTTATATAAACCTTAGCATTTAAAAATACAAGATGTTTTGTGTTGGGATTGTAATGTCCAGTAATATTGGACTACATAGTAACTAGTGCATTTTACTAATAAGTGAGAAGACTTCTTTTTGAAATTCCTATATAAATAAATCTATGCTTTCCCTGTATGAAAAGGCTAGAGATGCCCATATACTGTTTGAGCAAAACCAAGATTATTGTTGAAATTAGGTCTATGTGATCAGGTATTAATTTAAACTATTTTTCATCTCTAGAAAACCTTTCAGCCAAAGAACTGAAGAAAATGCTTAGCAAGCAGAGAAGAGCACAGAAGAAAGCCAAACTCGAAGAAGAGAGAAAACATGCAGAAAGAGAACGACAGCAAAAGAATCAAAAGAAAAAACGAGATGAGGAAGAGGAGGAAACTAGTGGTCCTAAGGAAGAACTAGTTCCTGAAAAACTGGAAAGAGTAAGCACCATGTTACATGTCTTGTATTCTTTGGCCTTTCCTTCCCCACTTCTCTCACTCCACATTTCTGGAAAACTGTAACATGGGAAATCTCCTTTTAAAGTGAGATTTAAAAAAAAATCCTTTTAAAGGGGCAAATCAATTGAAAAATGATTTTCACAAAACAAATTTGTCCATTTTTATAACACCTATAATTAAATAAGATTACAGGAAAAATGGTAGTTCTCTTTCCACAATATGTTTAGTTTGTGCATTTGATAGCAGTTGGTTGATAATTGTGGGTGTTTTATAATATAAAAAACCAAAACTTTCTCCGTCTTGTCTCCAGAAAGCTCACAGTCAGAGATAGCAGGTGGAATCAGAAAGGGAATGTAAGGGAACAATGAGACAGAGCTGATCAGTAGGATAGGCAATAGACTTGGCATATCAGCTGTTGAGCCTTTGTCAAGTTTCTTAGGCACTGTTCTGTACAACCAGTATCCTCTGTACTTTTTTATAGGTCTTTCACATAACAGACTGGGGAGGAGTAAGAAAATGTGATAGCCACAAAAACTAAACATCTGAAACTATCTTTTAATTATAAATTGGTTCAGATGTTCTTGTAACCACTATAGGTTATATTAGTTAGATGGTACCCATCTGAAATACCTGACAGTAATGCCATACATAGCTATATTCCCTTGGGGCTCAACTTAAAATGCTCAGAGAGCAGTGATGTATAAACTTAATTCAAATACATTTTACTTGGTTCAGTTTACTTCAGACAGGTATCATGATTTACTGGTTAGATGTGTGATCCCTTAAACTGTTCTTGAGTATTAAGATTTTTTTTCTTCTTCGGTGCCAACAACTTAAATCAGCTGATTGAAGCACTCGCTTGCTTATTGTGAATAGGGGGACAAAGCCAGGATTGTAGTTCTTTTTGTTCAAAAACCAAAAAAACTAATCTGTGTCTGCATGTAGATTGAACTCCATGGAAAGCTTAATTTTTTAAAAAGATGTATGTTAGTGATAAATGCTACTTCCTAATGTAAATTAATTTTGTCTTTTATTAAAACAGGTTGAAAATCCATTAGAGGAAGCTATTAAGTTCCTTATGCCACTTAAGAATCTTGTTGCAGATAACATAGACACACATCTGTTAGCATTTGAAATATACTTTAGAAAAGGTAAAATTGTGGATTTTCTCCAAATGTTCTGATCCTATATTCCAGCCTATTTTTACCCAACTGTAGTCTATATTTATTAAGGCAAGAATTTCCACCATGCCCGAAGTTAGTGGATAAATATTACAGAAAGCTTTGTATGTACCATATCATCTTTCTTTGACAGCACATTGTTCTTAAAACTGACTTTATGAATGAAGAAATTTGTGATTGTATGCGCATGAGGTATATGGAGGAAAAATATTTATGGTTGTAATTCTTCAGCGTCTAAAAAATTAGACTAATATACCTGACCCAATGTTGGTACAGTAAAACTCCGATGGTCCGGCACCTGATGGTCCGGCACCATCAGGAACCCGGAAGTGCTCCGGGCAGCCGGACCATTGGAGCTGCTCTGCTCCGGGCTTCCTGGAATCAGCCTCTGATCAGTTTCAACAGGCTGAATCTGGACGCCAGTTCTGACTTACATACAGATTCAATTTAAGAACCCCAGG